GAACTTGGGATCTTGTGCTTGTGAGGCTGGCCGCGGAACCACTGAGCAAAATCCTCGGCCCCCTTATTGAATTTTTCTACGAATCTATTCATTATTTATTTATTTCTTTTAAAACAAAAAGGGCAATTACTACAAACCAGGCACTTTTTTAAGTATTAGGTGACAAACGCTCTCTTCTTCCTTCTTTAACCCAATAATGGAGTAATATATATGACATGATTTTAAAGAGCTAAGGAATTATGATAGACACATGGATAAACTCACACACACACATACAGAGAGAGAGAGAGAGAGAGAGAGAGAGAGAGAGTATTATTCAATTCTTAAAAATAGAATGAGATCTTATTACTTGGCATAATGTGAATAAGCCTAGAGGACATAATGCTAAGTGTAATGTACAGACACAGTAAGAAAAATATTGTAAGATCTCAAATGTGGAATCTAGAAAATAAAAATATTCAAATATAGAGAGATAGAGAACCAGAATGGTTTAAAGTGAAGAGGGAGAAAACATGGAAATGTAGCTCAGAAGATACAAAGTAGCAGATATATTAGGGTCAACAAGTTGAGAAAGCTAATATATATGAGGACTATAGGTAATAAAATTATATTCTCTATGAGGTTCATGCTAAGTGAGATTTTAGCTTCTCTTGCTATAAAAAACAGTATTATGTGAGATGAAGCATATGTTAATTAATTGGCTAGAGTAAGTTTTTACTTCCTTTGTGCACTGCATAATATCATGATGTATACTTTAAATTTGTGCAATGAGAAAATGCGAGTCAATAGATATGTTAATTGTCTTGACTTAATCACAGCACAATGTATACATACATCAAAATATTCTGTGGTACACCATAGGTACATACACATTTTCCTTTGTCCTTTAAACCTTAACAAAGCTGGGAAAAATTATTAATAGATAAAAACAAAGAGAAAAATTTGAAAATAATTAAAAAATTCAATATGAAAGGAACAAAAATAATGTAAAAATATCAGAAAAGATTGAGGCTAGAGGGCAATGGTGATGCAAGGAGAAAAAACCCTGCCAACCAACAGTTAAATATTCAGTGATATTACCTTTCAAAAGTAAGGGTGATATTCAATAGATAGACGCAAATTTTTCTGAATAGTTTTGATTAGTGGTTGACTGAATCTGCAGATGCAGAGTGAGAGAATATGGAGGGCTAACTGTAGTATAAAATAATTTGTGTGAATGTGGGAAAAATCATGATGAAAAGAACATCACATATTCTTTTGTTAAATATTAAGGACTATTACGTATCATTGAATTAGGCAGTAGAGATACAATGCGTTATTGCAGTCTTCAGTACATTAGTATGAGGAAGAGAGAAATTAAAAAGCAACACTAGCAAGCACAAAAGTCTGAATTTAAGATAGATACCCAGGAGAGCATTCTCTATGATTGTTACAATAAAGCCTTACCTAAAGATGCTAGAGAATGTGATATTCAAAGTGATGTCCAAAGGGAAGAAGGGGAACACAGCATTCCACAATGAGTAAACAAACAAACACACCAGTATGTGCAAGGATTCTGAGGAAGACAGGAGCCTGGTTCTGAGGAAGACAGGAGCCTGGTTCTGTGAAACATTTCAAAGATGAGTTAGATTGCAACACAGAGACAAGGGGTAGAAGAGTTAACACAAAATAAAGCTGTAGTGGTAGACAGTGAAGAAACAAGGGCCATTCAAAAATTGGACTTTATCAGATTTATATGATTAAAAAAAGACAGAATGGGACGGGAGAAAGATGGCAGAGTTAAAACTGGTGGCAAATAAACTGACAGTAAAAACTGGCAACCTCTCCAGGACCTGGAATCAAGACACTCAAAAGACAACTTAGGAAAGAGAAAAAGGAAAAATAAAAAGAACTACAGGAATCAAGAAAGAACAGGAAAACTAGAAATCACAGAGAAACTAGAGACACATGACAATACAAAGGAATGAACCAGTCTGGAATGCTGTCCCTGGCTCCCGAGGAAGGGAACCTGCCTCCACAAATACAAGGCAAGCCCTGAGAGGATAGGCAGCCCCACTCAATGGACTGGCAGCCCTAGCCCCAAGAAAAGCCACTGGGTTTTGTAAGCTGCAAACACTGTGGGGTTTTACTCTGAAAGTGACTCCTTCTGCAGGACAGGTTAGCACTGGAGAAGAAATCTGTTGCAGTACCCACCATATTTTAGAGGGATATAATCAGCAGCCATTTTGAAAAGGGGTTTATTAAGACTGAGGTACTCTGAGAATCAGAAGTCACAGAACAACCACACTTCGGAGATTCTGGGGTCACCCCAGTCACTGCAGTGCTAGGTGGGAGATGGCCACAAGAAACAGTTGCAGAGATTGGGAGGGCTAGTCACAGACCGCTGAGATATTTAAGTGGTGGCAAGCTCAGGCTGCAGAGGACACATTGGTCCTGTCCTCTGTGGTGGGAAGCCAGGCCAACTGCATGTGCTTTTCTGAGGGGGGCTGGGACTAAGTCCAGAAAACTGCTTACACTCCTTTATTGCCTCCTTCAGGACAGAACTCAGTCATATGGTTGCTTTCTCTATTTGCTAACATGATCAGGGGTCTGACTCAGCTTAGACATTTGCTACATCCCAGGGTGTATGGACAGAGGGGCCTCTGGAACAAATGGGACACCTCACAAGAAAACAGGGCACAAAATTACTCAGGGACAATAGTAGTTGAGAGTGCATAGAAGGGCACAAACACTAAAATCCACTGGAGTATATATAGCCTTGAGGGAGACAATTTACCAATGACTGACCTTGCCAGTGGGAAAAGTAGGGCAGGACTCAGCACTTACATAGTAAAAAGTGGACGTGGAACACAACATGCACTAGTTGTGGCTCACAATCTCTCTCTCTCATACCTGGTGAATTCTAATACCACAGGCCGTAGAAAAAAGTACTCAAACATCACAAGGTGCAGGAATTTGTAGGACTCATTTTTCTTTTTTTTCCCTCTTTCTTGGGGGATAGGCTTTTTTGGTTTTTCTCCATTCTTTTTTTTTAACCTCTTACTTCTCTATTCTTTTACTCTGTTTTATTCTTTTCTCCCTTCTTTTTCTCATATTTTTATTACTTTTAGCTAATTCTATTTACTTTCTTTTATTCTCTACATGGATTTTTATCTCACTTCTCTCTCTTCCCCATCTTCCTTTTGTTTTCAAATTTACTTCTTTCATTTTTATCTTTCCATGTCCCTTCCATTTTTATTACTAATAAGCATTATTAATTTTAGCTACTTAGTTTACTCTATACTATTACTGCTGATTTCTATTTTTAATAGTGGAATACTTGTTGCTTCTGGTAGATATTTAGTGTATGTCAATATTTTATTTGTCTTTGTTTCTATATTATTTTTGCAGGTCTCTTCTATTGTTATGGGAGGTATAGTTGTAACTTTTATTGGTTCTCATGGCATATCAATATTCAGTTTGCCTTTGACTATTATTATTACTTTCTTTTCTATTGTTAATAGTGGCATAGTCATTCCTTTTTTTTTGGTACCAGGGATCGAACTCGGGTCCTTGCGCTTGAGGGGCAGGCAGTGGGACCACTGAGCTAAATCCCCGGCCCCAGTCATTGCTTTTAATAATTTTTTACCATATTTGGTTTGTCTTTGTATTATCAACATTACTGTGGCTCATTTTATCCTGAGTGATGCTGGGGATCAAGCCCTCAGAAAAGGTTGTATGCTAAGACCTCAAATATTTTGCTGAATGAGTTAAAGAGGGGTATGAACACCAAATTATAACCAAATCCAAGGGGATATCAGAAGGAGAAAGAATTTAACTAAAGGGATCTCCATAGTAGTTACAGCTTTTCTACCCTAATTGACCATCAACCTACAGCACAAAAGCATAAGAAAGCAAGGAAACAAGATGCTTGCAAAATCCCTTAACTCCTCAAAAACTGATCTAGTGGGCAATGAAGTAGAGGAAGCTATAGTAAAAAAATTGTCAAAAACCAAATGGCTAAAGTGTTTGAAGAGATAAAAGAATAAATACATAAGTAAATTCATAAGATATTTAGTGAGTTTAAGGAGGATTTAAATAAATTGATAAATTATTTAATTAATAAAGTATTCTTTGAAGTAAAAAGAGAAACAAACAATAAGATGATTGAGTTAAATAAGACAATGCAAGAGATGAATATAATTTTAGTAATGAATTAGAAGTTATGAAAAAAACAAGCACAAATTCAGAATATGAAAAATTCAATGGAAAGCCTGGGACCTGAGGACAGAGAGTCACAACTTGAAGACAAGGTTGAGATAGTAGATCATGTACTTAGTGACACCCTAAAAACAACTAGATACCCTGGAAACTATCCAACAGCCTCTGATATGACTCAAAAAATCAATCTCAGAATTATAAGAATAAAGGAAAAGTTAAAAAGATGATGAAAAAAGTATTAAATGTTTATTCACTGATCATAGCAGAAAAATTTCTAAACTGAGGAAAAGAATTCAACTTCAAGTAAAATGAAGCATATAGAACTCAAAATAGCTAGTGCCAGAAAAAAGAAGCTCTCCATGAGCCATCACAATAAAAATTCCAGAATTCCCACAGAAAGATAATTCTAAGGAGAGTTGTTAAACAAAGGAAGAAATAAAGGAATCAGTATTGGAAAACAATGCAGTAACAGAATTCAGTAAATATCTTACAATAATCACTCATTGTCAGTGGTTTCAACTTCCCAATCAAAAGACACAAACTGGCAGATTAAATCACAAAACAAAATTCAACCATATGATGTCACCAAGAGACACATATTTAAAAGGAAGCACACAGACAAAGTTAAAGGATGGAAAATGATACTTTATGCAACTAGACCCTGAAAGCAACCAGAATCTGTAATTTTC